CAACGCGCCGCCACAAATCGGCGTGAATGGGACCCAACTGCAAGTGGTGGAGAACTTCCCGTACCTGGGCAGTACCCTCTCCCGCAACACCAAGATTGATGACGAAGTCGCCAACAGGATCTCGAAAGCCAGTCAAGCCTTCGGACGCCTCCGAAGCACAGTTTGGAATCTCCACGGTCTCCAACTAAGCACGAAGCTGAAGATGTACAAGGCCGTCATCTTGCCAACGCTGCTGTACGGAGCGGAGACTTGGACGGTGTACACAAGGCAGGCACGCCGACTGAACCACTTCCACCTCGGTTGTCTCCGTCGCATCCTGAGGCTAAACTGGCAGGACCGCATCCCCGACACTGATGTGCTGGAATGGACGGGAATTCTCAGCATCTACACCATGCTGAGACAAATGCAGCTGCGTTGGAGCGGCCACCTGGTGCGTATGGACGACGAGCGACTACCCAAACGACTCTTTTACGGAGACGTCGCGACGGGTTCTCGCCGCCAATGTGGTCAAATTCGCCGCTACAAGGAAACTCTGTAGTCCTCTCTGAAGCGTCTGCAAATTAACCCGACCAACTGGGAAGACCTCGCCCACGACCGACCGACCTGGAGGAGGACAGTGAGGACAGGCGCTGCGATCTATGAAGCCAACCGCATCGCCGCCGCCAAAGTGAAACGCGAAGCCCGCAAATCACAACTTCACCCAGTAGGCAACACCGACGCACAAGTACTTCCAACATGTCCGGGCACGAATTGGTCTTATAAGACACCTTTGCATCAACTGCGCCTCTGAGACCGCACCAACCGTCGCCCACCAGCCAGCCTCTTCCTCGTTGCGATCGGGACGAGTGTGTTCCATAGAAACTATCTGTGAGCGCTCCGCTACCATTGTATATTTCCGATCGCAATCGACAGTAAAACGAGCTCGTGTCCCAGTGGTTAGAGGCGTTGGACTTCTAACTAACGGATCACGAGTTCGAATCTCGGGTGTTCCACACTTCGGGGTTGGTTATGACTGGCTGACGACGGCCAGTAGACCAGAAATGGCCATTCCAGTCTCCCTTGTATTTGTCGGTAATGCCACTCTGCCTATATCATGCGCCGTTGTGCGGCTGCTAGTTTGGCTCGAGAGAGAGCCCGTAAGGCACAACGGAACGAGTGAGTTCCGTAGAAACGATCGGTTAGCACCCCTCTACCATCAAATATATATATTTACTCAGGAATGGACGCACACCGATCCACTGGCTTCCCGAAGCAAACAAGCTTCGTATGGGCGATAGGGGTCACTAACAGGAAACCACTTACCAGGCCGAAGTCGGTCAAGCTAGGATAGCGGAGATGAGACGACAGAGTCTGGGAGTAGATTGATACAGCACTGTTTCCTGAGTGAATAAATACCCGATCTGCAGTGACAGAGACTGGCAGGTGGCGAGGCACTGATGATCTTCGGTTCGATGAAGTGCTTTTTACCCATCTGGTAGACGCCAGTGGTGGACCAGCTGCGCCAGGTGTGTCTGTGCGCATGATTGTGCTTCCGGTCCCAGCTGGTGGTCAGGGTTATGATTGGCTCAATGAAGGCGAACAAGCCCGAAACGGCGCTGTATCAATCTAATCCCCACACTCGGCCGTCTCTCCTCTGCTGTATATGTATATAAATTAGAAAGCAAAGTCTTTTGGGAAACGCGACAAAATTTATTCTGCAATTTTTCGACACTGGTTCCGCAGGTCGTCTTCAGACTTGTGGCATATACGAAAGTGTCAACATTTATATAAGGGGCAAAAAATCGATACCGTCCTTGAATTTCCTCCAATAAGTCATGGCGCTGGTTGATAGCTCGCGTTAATTGGCTGTGACCTCTTCCATCTTTCCACGTGGAACATGAGACCCCTTTCTAGGGACTTATAGATTTATGCCAATTTACTGCTGGATAAATACAGTATGGCATTTGAAGTCATAGGGACTGGTCGAAAACTTGTAAATTAAATTATCACAGCTTAAACGGTGACTTTTTACCAAGGCTACTTTTCTCAGCTTGTTGCGAAGATGCCTTTCCAACATCCAACATGCCAACATGTAGAAATTTTATTGGAGCCAACTTCCTTGTTGACCAGATTTGCAACCTCACTTGAGTATTATTTTCTGTTTGGAAGTGTTTTGAAATCTTTAGGTAGACGACTCATGAGTCTGGCCATTTATTGGGCTTTTTCCCCCCTAGATGTGGGCTTGTCTGTGAGTTACCTTGTCGGTGAAAATGTCATAGTCGGTCGCTGGTCACCTCGGTTCGCGGTTAAGCAACTAGCCAGTGAAAATGCTGTGTCATCGCGCCGCCACCGGACGTGTCGACCAATCAAAAGGCTTTGCGCAAATGACGCCTCCTCTGATTGGCTGGGCCTCGCGAGACTCTTGTTCCCGTCACCCTGGCGGAAGTCTGTCAACTCGCGCCTGCAAACGAACCGACGGGCACGATGCACAAGTACGAACTTCTGCCAGACACCACAAGGAATCATCTTCCACAATTTTTAAAACAAAACTGCTTCGGTCTCGGATCACCAACTTCGCCACTGGAGCTCAATACCCTTCTGCCCACACCCCCCAACGACCTAACAAAACAGGGCTTCCGAAGATATAGCGGTCAGCATTCAATCCAAAGCGATACCAGTAGCGGTAGTAGTAGCAGCAGCAGCAGGAACATGCTTCCGCAAATGCAGCAGGAGTCGCCTAAAGACAGTGAATCACCCAAACTTAACGGGCCATTCTGCGCGCCGAATCCCTTCCTGCCGCCAGACATCTGCTCCACACTGGATGCGACCTCTGTCGCTAACAGACCCTTCATCTCCACCTTCCCCAACCTCCCCATGGACAGTCCACTCTTCCAGTTCGGGGCTTCCTCTCCCTCCGCCATGATGGCCCGCTTTGTCCTGTCAGCCTACATGTCAGCGGCCGGAGCAAACTCCGCTGTCGGTAGAGGATTGGCCGCTTCTCAGTCAACCCCCTTCAAGTCACTCCTTCTTCAGGGCACGGAGCCCTCAACGCAGGCCAACTGGTTCTCCTCGGCCGGTGACTTCAGTCACACGCCCTCCACAACATCTGTCTTCACTACAGCCGCCACGACCGTTGGTCTTCAGTCGCCAAACAACGCTACCGGCCGACTGGCAAGTGATGGGAACCTCACAGCCTCAGAAAATCCGGAAGACTGCATCGACCACAGAATGCCAACAAGTGCGTTTTTATTCGTTTTTGCTCATCTGTGAGCTTTGAAGCACTCAATCTCCTGCCTCCTATAATATTACTTAAGATGAGTAGCCTATAAATGGTCTGAGTAAGTTACATAGGTTCCGCTGGAGACAGGATCGAAGGACTACCCTTAGCAAGCAGCATTAATAAACGTAGAGATACGGTGTTGTTTGAATGGAAAGTCCGCAGGCGTAAAAATCTCATAGTTACAAATTTTTTGAAACGAAAATACGAATTTACAGAAATTTCAGAAATCAATGGCAAATCCTGCTACTTAATTAGTCATTCTTACCGAGCGTGAGTTTTTTCCGCGGTCGAAATCCCTGCGTGAATAAAGCATCTTGGTAGTATGCTGCGCGACTATAAGTATTACAACCATAGCTAAATAATCCTTTCTCGTGGGAAACAAATTTCAGAATCTCGGCTAACATATCACGAGATACGTCACCCACTACACTTTCGAGCTTATAAATGTTCACTAGCCGCCAGAACAGGCTATGTGTACGTGAGGCCTGGTGGATTTCCAGAAGCAAATGATTTAAATTCCTATCCGATACTTCTGGAGGCCGATGAAGAGGTTTTGGATGTTCTGTCTTGGAGAGCGGAGTACTGTCGCCTGTACTAGCATTTCGTTTTCCAAGGCGGATAATTTGGTTGGAAATCGCGAAGTTCCCTGAACTCGGGGGCGTCTACAAAGGGCGTGAGAATAAAATTTACAGACATCGAGATTAGGATTCGGCGTGACTTCGCCCACATTGCAGCCTGGCATTGAAAGTCTGATTGAACTGACTTACAGATCACCCCCTCTCTGTCTCCTTCACACTGAGCCAAATAAGGGACCAACATTAACCAGTGGCAGGCGTTGGTGGAGTTGTGATAGGTCAACATGAGGCCTTAACTATTGTCGAGCGAGTGCGGGACACAGATAGCCGGAGTCTTCCAAGCTATGCCCAGGCATGACGACCAACCTTATTACCTCAACACTGGCAAATGGGGAGGATCTTGTGTGTTTGGACATGCAGATGCTACCTTTTTAACAGATCCGGAGTGGGAGAGGGGGAAATATGACTCAAAAAAGAGCCAGATCGGCAGTCCAATTGCAGAAGGCCGGTCTGAACGCTGACACCAATACAGTACTATTTTACGCCTACTTAGGGATGACGGACCGGGAGAGACCAGGCGGTAGATACAACTGTGATATCAGAGACTGGAAGTTAATCTGTGTGAATCTCAAGTGATACATCATCGTGGGAATGACGCCTCCTGGAACCACCCCAACTAGATTTGGCTTTGAGGATTATTTCGGGGTGTGAGGGTAGATATTAGCCAGTTTTAGTTTTGTTACTAATTTGGCCGCGCACGAGCACGTGTTCATTACTATTGTCCAGACAACAGGACCAAAAAGGCGGGAGATTTTGATGATATGACTATTCAAGATTACATATATGTTAGATATGCTGGCGGTACGTTCACCATCCGGTTTAGGAAACATCCGCGTCCCGTTGTGTTTCGGAAGTCGGTATTTAGCCCACAGACAGGGACACTGGAAGACCGATTATACCAAACCTTGGTTTTGCTGAATCTGGACCTACATTCAGTGTCCTCCGGACGTTGAGGGTTTTGAAGTTCAAATTTTCATCATTTGAGTTGCGGGTTCGTTGTCCTGTCGATTGCGATCGGGAATATTGGCTATGTTCGAAGTGCGTTCACCGGGAGATGCCGGTTCTGTTGTGCTCTGGGACTGGACCAAAAGCCTCGCAGGCAGTCGCATGTCGAACGGAATTTTCAGTTCAGTTCAGTTCAGTTTATTGAGGGAAATAGGCGTAAGCCTTTGAGTACCCTATTTGCAACGAAAAAAATGTGTGGTGTACAGATAGATGTTCTGGGCTGAAATAGTTCGAACACGCCCATAATGGTGGGACAAA